CATTATCACAATATATAGTCATTTTTTATGGCAGCCTATGTTTGACTTGACCAAAATAATTTAACATTGCTTCATCCAGTACATAGGAATCAAAGTAATCATCGAAAACTACCAACAAACAGTGCCAAATCCGGATGACACCATTCACACCAGACAAACCAAAATAGAATGAACCCAATGCCCACATTATGCAGTATTTCTGTTTATGTTAAGCACCTCTAAGATTTCTGCTTAAGCTAAGAATACATAGTCATATATCATCATGACTAAAGAGCTTGTGAAATCCTGAAAAACAAATTAATTGATGGAAGAAAAGGAAAACTATTTAGTGCACTGATACGAACCTTCACCATCGTGTCACGCATGAAATCATATTCAAAACGTTTCAGCTGAAGTTGCAGAACAGGAGGGAAGTCGATAAAAAGAACTCCTTTCTTCGCATCCTGAAAGAACAGAATTTCTGTAAAGAAGAAACATACAGTGAAATGATAAATCAGGTTTTTTGGTTGCCACTTGTCAGATATTTGCGGGATGCCATAAGCAGTAGCTCAATTTATTATATATTGGTTTAAGCTGGTAAATAAGGGTGGATTACTTTAGGAACCGAGCCTAGGTCAGTTGGTGGAAGGTCTAGGACGTACATAGCCACCACCCAGGTTTGAGTCCACAGACTGAAATTCACAATGCCACCCAGTAACTCTTAGGTTGGTGAGTTTTTTACAGCATGGATTAATTTGCTAATTCCTGGGTTCTTAAGGAGTCTGTGTGTGCATATACAGAGTAAAATTATGGAAACAGGTGTTGAGACCACAGAGGGCCCTAAGGTCCGATCAGTAACATCATAAAGTCTCAAATCAACAAGATGAGAAACAAGTACGAGCATGTGCTATGATCACACTACCCCACAAATCTACCCACTCTGGACAATGTTATATGTCATGTTATGATAGCCTTAAAATGTTAGAAAGTTCGAGCTTTGAGGATGCACAATATGACCTTTACGCTTCACTTAACTGCTTGGTAAATAATTTAGCACTTTCAATGTACCCTTTTACACCTAGATGCATCCTAGCACAAACTACATAAACATCATTTGAATGAATTGTGGTATTGAGTAGCATTCCCTGAGTTGCTTTAAGAAAAAAGTTTGTCCTTATCTCAGCGATTCTATTTAGGTACTAACTGTTAAATAAATGCGAGCTTGGTTAGATTCAGCTTGATATTTTTCAATGGCCCTGTGATTATACGGTCATGCTGCCTAAGAGAAAGAGGCTTAACTACCATAGGATCCATAATACTAACCTGCAGGCCATGCTTGTCGGCATGATACTTGTTGTCACCTTCCAGACGCTCCACTTCTACATACTTATCAAATGAAGCGTAGACATCCTGACAACCTTTGACATCAAGCTGGAGATCTGCATTAGAATATACAACTAGGTTAAACAACAGTCCAGTTTAAACTTTGCTACTCATGTGGAAACAACATCATCACTTGCCATAGAAGGATTCCTTTCTTGTTGATTTGAAATCCACATTGATACACTCAATGTAGTTCATGTGGTGCCCTTCAAACAATTGTTGTATTGTGCCCTCCACAACAGTTCCCTTGAATCAACATTTTTACAAGCATAATTCAGTCAGAGCTACAACGGTTCAGTAAACAACACCGGAGGACATAAAAAGGAAAGACCTTACAGACGTCAAACCTTCATCTTATCTTCCAACTTCTCGGAAAGAACTCTGTTCAATTCTTGGACATCATGTTGCATAAATGAATCATGCATGTCCCACCCGAATGATTTTGTGAGCTCCTTTGTAGAGACACTGCTGTCATTATACTGCAACTTATAAAAGAGTGACTGTAGAGCTAACGGGATGCTTCCCGAGGGCATATCATTCTCGGTGGTGGGCATGTGATAAACAGCCTGGCAAGAGATATCTGTAGTTAGCTGTATCTATCCAAGCAGGTTGAGCAGAGGAGCAATGACATGTGATTTTCTCGTTTGTACCTTTCTGAAATACGGAATGTGGTACAGCGTCTGAAGAAGAGAATTCATATAGCAGGTAGCACCCTGATTTTTAAGACCAACATAGCCAGTTTCCTTTTTAGAGTCATAACTCCAATAGTCAACAACTTTACACACGGCAACTTCAGCTTCCACTATACAAGTATCATTTACAAGATAACCTCTACTGGGGTTGTAGAGTTCACCCAACGGCATAAATGAAGTGAAACCCCAATCACTTTCTCGAGCAGAGAACTGATGTTGTGTTTCTGCGAGAATTAAAAGTCAGACACCTAAGTTTGTTACTGAAACCTCAAAGTATAGAACCCAATCAATATTTTGACATGTGTTACGTTGAAAAACAAGGGCATGATAAAAGGATGGACCTTTTCTTATTGTGAACTTGTTGTGAATCTGATTAACCACGGAGAGGCTGAATTGTGCATATCTAGTCCATCCATAGGGCAAGACTCCAGAATCAGCTACATCCAAATACATAGATAAGAATTCAACATTATTTCCCCTAGGGAAAATCAAAATTCGCCTGCAAAACAGAAAATACTACATCAATTACCAATACCAAAAAAAGGTAAAATTAAATAGAGATACTAATTCGGAGTAAAATGGAAAGCAATAGGCACTTACCACTTGTAGCCTCCAACAACAAAAATTTCGGAGTAGAGCTTCTTCGTGCTAACTCTTGATAGATTCTCAATGGTCCAAGTAAATCTCGAGATTGGTGGATCCTCTATCTGTTGGTTTTCCACAGTAGCAGCTGGCTCAGCAGGCACAACTGGCACGATCAAAAGAAGAAATCATAAATAGCTGATAAACTCAAATGCCACATGACAAAAGCAGCAAAGAAAACAACAAAAGAGTCCAAGTCTATCTATGGTGCATAAATGCTCAAAATCGTTTTGTACAGAACAAGCAGATGCATCTCTAACCTACTGCAAATAGTAACCGAAAATGCATCCCCACGCTTAGAAAAGTTCTCATGTCAATGTGGTTTTGCATATGAAAACACAACTACGGTCAATCCTGCAAATACTGTGTGACAGTTAAAAAAACTTCCATCAACATAAAGACATCAAATGAGTGGGCACACACACTCTATCCAGCTTTAACCCAACTTAACACCTCGAAGTATAACAATAATAATCTAGTAACACCCACATATACAATATCTAATCTAAGCTACAAATGAATGCATAACAAAACGAACAGACTACATAAGAGGTGATAGCTCCATACAGAATAGCAATACCATATCATAGAACAAGCAAATAAACAATCATGATGTGTGTTATACAGTGATAACTCTGGCCACAGCACTTACAATGGCGCCATTTGCGCAAAAGAATAAAATAATCAGCAGCAACACCACTCATGAACAGCAGGCTGATAAAATATCGTAGCAAATAGGAGACAGCAAAATGCAGCCTATCTAGGCAGCTGGTCTGAGTATCTACACACCACAAGTCACAGAACATCAACTAAACTAGCTGACAGACCCATAATGACATGAGCCCACTGAACTAATCTCTAGACGAGATGTGCCAACCAGACCTTCCATTGGCTGTGCTCCATTGGGCAACTCCTGCTGCGGGCCGTGCGGTACCAGCACCTCCTCTTCCTCCTGCTGTTGTTGCTGCGAGAAAAACACGAGAGGCACAATCTCAGATCCATTACTCCAACGTTAGGCGGAGGCATCAAAACCCCAAACCCTAGAATTCCGTACGCGCGCGCGGGGGCACGGCGAGCCCTACACGCGACGCCAGAACTCCGACCCGTAAACCGACCCCAGAGCCCTAGGGCAAGGGCGCCCGCCCCGCCAGACGGCCGGGATGCGCGCGGCATCGCGGGCCGATGCGGCGGGCAGGTCCCGCGGGAGGAGTCGGGAAATGAACGGAGGCCGAGGCGGGAGGACATCTCCCCCTCGCACACGCTTACCTCGGCGGGCGGCGGCGAGGTCGTCATGTCCGGCGGGACGCGGGCGGCGCGGGGCGGGGAGACGGGTAGCGAGGGAGGCAGGGAGGGAGGCGCGGGTCCGCCGGCGGCGATGTGGGATCCCACCCGGAAGTGGGTTACGGGGGTCGTGGGGAGGGAGGTGGAGATCGCGAGACGGGGAGGGGGGAGGCGGAGGAGAGAGAAAGGGAGAGGAGAAGAGAGAGAGGTTTTGAACACGTGGAAAAGTTACAGGATATTTAATTTTTACCATTATAACATAGATGACATCTTCATATAACACTCTTAAAATTGATTCTACATATTTATCATAGAGAGAGAGCATTTTATATATTCTTGTCATTTTCGCTGACGTAGTACGCTAACTCGACCTGACAGCATAGACCGGCCACAAGAAATGATATTTTTACCCATCATCTATTTCTTCTATCTCTATCCCTTCCTCGCTCGACCTCTCGTCGGAACGCGGCGGGGTCCAGCAGCGACGAGAGGGAGCCGTCCAGGTAGAAGGACTCGTGCTCAAGCCGGCGATGAGGGTGCGGCGGACGCGCGCCCGTGGCGATGCTTGGCTAGTGCGGGGAGGACACGGGATCTTGGTGAGCGATCGAGTGGCCGCCATGAGCTCCACCCCTTGGCGCAGATCAGTCTTGTGAGGTGCCCATGAACGCCCTTTGTCGCGCTGCTGCTGGCCTGCTTTCGGCACTAAGAGGTGTGACTCCGCCGTCGGTCGGCGTCGCGGGGCCATTTCGCTGGAGAAGCGGGTGGTGGTGATGGCGCCTGTTTATGGCGGTGGTGGTCGCCATGAGCTTCTCGTTGAGCCCGCCCACCTCGGCTCTGCTTGGATTGAGCCGCTGCATCGAGGTCGTCGGCGCCGCCAGACTGGCGCCACGGCCTCATGGAGGGCGGCTGAAGGGTTGAGCGCTGGATGTAGCCCGCAATGGCGAAAGCGGTCGTGGAGGCGCGAGGAGGTGGCGAGCTTCAGCGAGCAGCGGCCACGTCCGTGGTGCGCATCTTGTCGGGGTCCTAGGGGCAGGCGCGCCCTAGAGCGCGGCGTAGGAACGGCGCACCCAGAGACACGTCGAACACCTCCGCCATCAGCGCGTTCGCGTCGCAGGCGTGCTCGGCGCCCTTGGCCATGGCGGCCAGCCTCTCCTTCTCCTGCTCCCCCTCCTCACAGATCTTGAGCTTCTCCTCCTCCTCCTCTTCCTTGATTTCCTCCGCCTCCGCAGCGGACAGGGACCGTCGGCATTTCTCGCTGCTGGAGACGGCATCGGCAAAGGGGTCGTCGTCGTCGTCCAGGTCGTTGTCGACGGAGTCGCGGAGGGTGTAGTTGCAGGGCAGGCGGTTGGATAGGCAGGAGGAGGCGACGCGGTGGATGAGGTCGCCGACGGTGACCGGCTTGGTCGCCATTCCTCGACACTACGACCGAGCCTTCCCCTACGGGTTGCGGCCATGTTCAGCGTCGGCGTCAGGCGCGCCCGTGGACCTACAGGGCGTGGCCCCGGCTGCCTTGCCCCCAACTTCCCCTATGTCCTGTCAGCCGCCGCCATGGACCCCATCATCGGCCATGGTCAGAGCTCGAGCGAGGAAGGGATAGAGATAGAAGAAATAGATGAGTGGTAAAAATGTCATTTCCCGTGGCTGGTCTATGCTGTCAGGTCGAGTTGGCGTGCCACGTCAGCGAAAATGGCAAGAATGTATCAAATGCTCTCTCTCAATGGTAAATATGTAAGAGTGAAGAGGTGACATCCGTTATAATGATAAAAAGTTAAATATCCCAAAGTTCTAGGCCTCGTGCGGAGGCTTGCGGGGCAAGGACAGTGCGTTGGTGGACGGTTGGGATGAAGGGCAAATGTGGGATGGACAGCCACGATATTATGGTCTCGATGCGGGCGGCGCCAGTAGAACAAGAGAGAGGGACCCTGACAAGGTCTATTCCCACTTCTGACATGCGATTCACCGTTGCATTTGCCGAACCGTTTTTCAGTTGTGCTTGCGATTGTTTTCTCTCTTCAATATTTTCAATTCAATAATACGAATAGTTGTTAGCTCTAATATAACTTTAAGTTTTGTAGCTTATACTGTGAATAACCTCAAATAACAACTTCCCATAATCTTAAAATATATGCGCATGAGACTAACTCGTGATAGAAAAATAGATTTTCTCTTTTTCTATTAAAATAAATATAAAATAATATACTTAAGCTAGCTTATATGTCACGATCAGAGATGTCCTTATGATCAAAAATGTTTAGAGTGGCAAACACAATCGCAACACTATGTTTAGAGCGCGTTCGGTAGCTATAAATGTTTCAGATTCTCAATCACAAGAATCATTGCCAAACACCACAAAAAGATAAACGTTTTAGGGAGAGTCACCTGGACCTCGACTCTTGTTTTAGTATTAGTCCAGAGAAACACCTAAAACATGATTTTTTTTCTTGATTCTAATTCTAGTTTTCAAGAATCCAGTGAGCTAGCCAAACAGTTACACGAAGTAATTCTAATTTAGCAGAGAGACATTTCTAGTAAGAATTTAAATCTAAAATATTTTTAGAAAAAAAATGAATCCCTACCAAACGCACTCTTAATGTAGTGCTCTTGATTATGATAAAAGTTTGCACATGATCTATGCATTTAGATTTTATAGAGTTCTAGGTCATCTTAAGGGAGTTACAAAACTCAGGCGCATAAAAGGTTGTCTTGAGCGAGAAAAAAGGAATTAAGTTTGCTTTATGCACCGATGCCCATTTGCCCACTAAGGTTATTGATAAATAGCTAAATATACCACACCCTAAATATATATGCAAAGCATCAGGGATTCAAATGATTACTTGCAAAAAAAGGGTTTGTCTCATCCGATCTCTAAAAAACTAAAAAAACGTCACGGCTGCGCAACGACGCCTTGGTTGATAACTCTATCTCAACTAAAAAACACGCACACGCCCGCTGACAAACAACCCCCAGACGGTTCTACTGAACCGCTCGCGCGCACCCCCGGTCAAGGTAAAAATCCCCCAGACGATTCTACCAAAATCGCCCGGGGGCTCGAGAGCTCCTGCCGGGTTCATAAACCCGGGGTCCCTCACGGACCGGCTTCCCCGCAAAGGCTTGGCCCAAGCAGACAACACGCAACTCATGGGTAGGCCCAAGAGTCTAAACGAACAGGCTAGAAGGGCGATCCAGTCACCGACCGGAAGGTCTGACCAAGGAGGAGGAGCGCCCGCTTGTCGACTCCGGCCCACCTCTCCGACCGGAGCACTCACTTTGGTCTCCAGCCGCATCCGGACGGTCTCTCCGACCGGAAGGTTGGCAAAAGCACTATCTCCGACTCCGACCCCACGTCTCCAACCGGGGTATGCAAAGACCCTATTCGCTGCTCTTCTCCGACTAGCGCAGACCAGAGCCGGTTGGGACCAACCGACCGGGGACGCCCGCTCGGAAGGGACTAGAGAACAAACGGAGAAAGCAAGGCAAGGCGCACAAGTCAAACCATGATACCAGGGATCGTACTCTATACACCTGCAGGAACAGTACTCTACAACCGCCCTGAAATAAACAGTGTTGTAGGCGCCGACATACCTCTGGGCATCAGCAGTATTGCAGGTACCGACATCTGCCATACCCAAACAAAGACGACGTAACCTCCTATGTGCATCAGACAACCAACGGTATTGTGGGCGTCTACCATCATCCTGTACCCGCCGGCATGGGCAACAAGGCTTAGAAGCATACATACTCCCTCCCTCTCACCTGTAAGGTCATCCCCTTCATCTATAAAAGGGGATGTCCTCTCTCAAGGAGGGAGGTTGATTCAAGTTCATATAAGTTATTCCAGACTTATTAGATCGATCAAGTTCATTAGCTCACAACCACAGAACCGCCAGGTTTGGACCTCAAGCACACGCTTGAACACTTAGCTCATAGTGGAGCTCCTGTCGCTCTCGGCCCTTCCGACCGGAGCCGATCGGACCTCTTGTCCACCCCATCTTACTCCTTCTCATTTGTAACCCCACTGCAAACTTCGAGCACCTGGCTCAGGAATAAAGTCACCGATTGACTTAAACTGGACGTAGGGCACGTTGCCTGAACCAGTATAAACCCTGTGCAATTGAGTGCTATACCACCTCCGATCACAACGTACGGCAAAACTATAAATTATTACTTGTTGGTCACTTTCTGCACCGACAGTTGGCGCCGTCCGTGGGGAAGACGATGTACGTTCAACACTTTTTGGTCATCGGATGGCTCACTTTTCCGCCACCATCGCCATGGCAGGCTCAGGCGATACGATTCGCTTTGGCTCACTAGAGTTTCCCGCACTCCCACCTATCGAGATGCCACCCGTCTTTGAGCCATCCCAGGCCTTCCTTCTCGGAAGCTTGGACTTCATCGCCAACCAACTCGGCGTACTGCACCTCCACGAGGAGGCACTCATTCCGGCACCATCGGGCGCCCTCCATCGACTCCGGGACGCACGACTTCAACAACACGTCATCTGCGCTTCATTTCGAGCAAACTCTCTGCTCAAACCCCACTATAAGTTATATGTGTTCTGTTATTTACTCTTTATTTACTATCTCTCACCGATCATCCGGAGGGACCATATTGCCCACAGCCACGAACACCGTACGATCGGTTCCCCTATGGCCTCACATCTCCCGTGGATGCATACGCTCGGGGGATCCAAAGGATGCTAGCGCCATCCCCCCTCACATCCGAATTCATGGGAATGGCAAGCTATGCCCCGCCACCTTCCACGAACTCCCGGATGATGAGGGTGAGAGCGACGGCTCCAGCATCGGCGACGTGGCACCTCGCCACCGTCCGTCCTGAGAGTGAGCTATGGCGGACGCTCCGAGACAGCCGCCGGTGGTTGTGGAATCTGCGTCAGACTCACACCCCTCCGGACCCACGCGTGGGGGCCCTCGCATCTGCGCAAGCGCACGCTGAGGAATTACAACAATGTCGGTAGAACCAGGTCGACCTGCCCGTCACGTTCGGCAACCGAGCTAACTTCCGCTTGGAGGTCCTCACCTTCGAAGTGGTGGACTTTCTAGGGTCCTACAACGCCATCTTGGGGCAGCCATGCTACGCCAAATTCATGGCAATCCCCAACTACACCTACCTCAAGTTGAAGATTCTAGGACCGAACGGCGTCATCACCATAAGCAGCGCCTTCTCGCATGCCTTCACGTGCGACCGTGAGCACTACGAGCTCGCCACTACGGTCGTCAACTCCTTCGAACTCCCGCGGCTCGGGGAATTGTCGATCCGGCAGTCCCAGACTGCAACAAACCAACCTCCTCGATGGCCTTCCGTTCGCTCGAGGAAACCAAGGCGGTGGGGGTCAACCCCATCGACCCGGCCAAGACGGTGCGGATCGGGACCTAGCTTCTAACCAAATAAGAATGCGAACTCATCGACTTCCTGCGCACCAATTCGCGATGTCTTCGCATGGCAGCCTTCTAACATGCCGGGCATACCGCGGGAGGTCGCCGAGCACGCACTATGCCTCATCCGGGCTCGAAGCCCACCAAACAGCGCCTACGTTGCTTCGACGACGAAAGGCGTAGAGCCATATGCGAAGAGATCGCCAAACTCCTAATAGCCGGATTCATCAGAGATGTCTTCCACTCCGACTGACTTGCCAATCCTGTTCTTGTTAAAAAGAAGACCGGAAAATGGAGAATGCGTTGATTATACTGGCCTCAACAAGGCATGTCCAAAGGATCACTTTCCTTTGTCGCGCATAGACCAGATAGTCGACTCCACCTCGGGTTGCGAGATCCTCTCCTTTCTGGATGCCTACTCGGGCTATCACCAGATCGCGATGAAAGAATCCGATCAGCTCGCAACCTCGTTCATCACCCCATATGGTTCGTACTGCTACGTAACCATGCCATTCGGCTTGAAGAACACTTACGGCACCTACCAAAGGTGCATGCAGCAATGCTTCGCCGATCAAATCGACCCGCTCAATCAGCCTGATCAAACCGAGCCGCCAAGACCAACGATCGTCGTTTATGTCGATGACATAGTACTCAAAACAACTCAAGCCAACGACCTGATCGTAAACTTGGCCGCAACGTTCACGAACCTCAGAAGATTCAACATCAGGCTGAATCCCGAAAAGTAATCCCGAAAAGTGTGTTTTCGGGGTTCCGAAGGGGAAGATGCTAGGATACATTGTGTCCGAGCACGGCATTGAGGCCAACCCTGAAAAAATCACGACCATCTCCAACATGGGTCCCATACGCAACGTCAAGGGCGTACAGAGGCTCACCGGCTGCCTGGCTGCTCTAAGTCGATTCATCTCCTGGCTCGGCGAACGAGGGATGCCACTTTACAAGATCCTCAAAAAGACAGACACTTTCGTCTAGATTGAGGAAGCTCAGCAGACCCTGGAT